GTACAGTCTCTCTTTCCACCATTGAGAATCGATAAGGGCGAAATTTGATCTCTGTATCAGATGTGAGACGAATTTTAAATTCCCCTGTTGTGATAGGAGTGGGTATCTTATTTCCAGAAGAAGAAATGTCGTTAAATTCTAGAAGTAACTCTTCCAATTGCTTTTCAACGAGATTTGAAGGAACATATTCCAAAATAGGTGAACTTTGAGTAAATTTTAAAGACATTCCAGGAATGTTTATAAAATCCAAACCAATTATTGCATCACAAGGAATATAATCATTTGAAACAATATGCATTTTAAGAGGAAATTTAAATTCTTTTTTAAGATTTATTTCAACATTGACTACACTCTTAGACGTAAAGGTGCGGTTACCAACGCCTTTAATAGTCATATGTTCGTAAATTGGCAAAGAATACATATTTTTAACAGCAGATTGACGCAATAAAGACACTTGAGCACCAGTGTCGATTAAAACTTCATAATCGTGATCATCAATATTAAGTGAAAACAAATTTAAATCTGACGAAATAGGTGTAGGAGAATAGCACAAATTAACCTTCTTATAATGATTACCTTTTTGCTTTTTTCTAGCAAAACAATTATCAATTACATGTCCGGGTTTTTGACAAAAATCACAAGTATTACTAGTGTTGGGTTTAAAATCATCTCTTTCACGTTTAAGACCTTTGCCTTGAGTACTTTTTTGGGGGCATAAAAATCTTGGATGTCCTAAAAGACCACAGCTATAACATTTTAAAGAAGAATTTTTTACTTGATTTAAACTTTTGTTCGGTGCATTATTTGAAACTATAGGCACAAAGGAACTAATTTTATTGCTAACTGATGGTTTAGTTTGAATTCGGCATAAATGAGAAATAAGATTAGTCACAGATGAATGACCAACTTGTGTCATCTGAGCTTGAAGACTTACATCCTTTATGGTAAAGCAAATCATGCTAACGATTTGACTTTGAGTGAAAGGTAATTTTAGGGCATTAATTTTTTGAAGTTTTAAACGGGCATATTGACCAAACGTTGGACAGCCCTCAGAAGAAAAAGAAATTGCGTCATACATCAATTTTCCAAAATTAACTGTACCTGCGAAGCTCTCACATAAATCGATTTTTAAATTTGCCCATGAGCGGCGGTCAATCGGACTCCAAACGTTAAACCATTCACCTGCCTCCCCTTCAAAACAACCTCCTATTTGAGCCATAATAGTGCTGTCACTCCATCCAAGTTCAGACGCCATCTCCGATATTTCGTTAACCCATTGTTCAGGATCATCTCGCCGCGGCTCAAACTTTGGCAAGTTAAGTCTTTCATGAGGCACTGAACGATTTAGGAAATCCCGTAGCAAAGTCGTTAATGTATTTTCGACAGAAACTGGTTGAGTAATATGATGTTCATCAGTCATTTTGTTCAATATTATACGCACAGTTTTCGTTTTAACGTAAACTTCACTTCAAAAAAAAAAAAAAAAAAAGGAAAGCAAACTCTATATTTTTAACTGCACAAAAACACCACTGTTCACAAAAAAAGTAAGTGTTTGAGCGAAAATATTTTTTAGACTACCTAATCGACAACCGATATAAAAAAATGACAATGACTTAATTCATGTTTGAAAGCGGCATCAAATCAAACAAAAATAAATAAATAATAAAAATAAATAAAAGACGCTGAAATACATTAGCTATTGACAAAATATACTTAGCTGAATATCTTCTTATAACGTGAAATCAAATAGTCCCATCTTTAAAAACACAACTCTGCCATTTTTCTTTGACGGTCAACTTTTATCTTCATGATATTATAAACAATTTTTAGTCGCGACGGCTCGAGCAGTATAATAAATTTTTAGACGTCGATTTTAAATAATGGATTCTTTGTATCCCACTTCTGATTTTAGATTTTAAATATTATACCGTATCAAGACAAGGCACGTAGTTACTCTTCGCCCGAATAAGAATAACTGCTTGGACATGTCAAACGGAATACGTCTATATTATCTAGTGCCATATATGCACAGTGGCGCGCTAACAGCCTGTGAAGAGTATTATAGGTTTACTTTGTCCGTCTGTCCAATGTCACGTTTTTTGTCAAAGTCAAAAACAAAAAAACGCCTACTGATTTTGAAAAAAATCTGATTGAAAATAGGGGACAAGATGGTTAAAATTAAAAAAAAAGTAAATTAAAAACGAAAAGCAATAGCAACATGAAATTTTTAGTAAAAATGTAGCTCTGCAAGAATATAAAGCCTATTGATTCTGAAAAAATAAAAAAAATTAATTGGGATGAAAGGGGGTTAAAATTTAATAAAAAAATCCCAACTATAAAATGAAAAGCGATATCAACATAAAATTTTTAGTAAAACTCAAGATCTATAAGAAGATGAGGCCTATTTATTGTGAAAAAATTTGAATAAAAGTGGGGGGTTAAGGGGTGGTTGAAATATTTAAAAAATATATAACTCAAAAACGAAAAATAATATCAGGTTTTTGGAAAAAATAAGCTCTACTACAACGGGAAGAAACCTAATGATTTTGAAAAAAATCTAATTTAAAATGAGGGGTATGTTAAACTGTGAAGAGTATAATTTAGAATGCCAAGCATATCTTCATTTTAGTTTCTAGTTTGTATCTGTATAATGTTATGTATTGTGATAGGACTGATCTTATAAAATAAATATTTAAAATAATTTAAGTCATTTCAAAGTATGAAGAAAAATCATCTGATTATAGGGATCGTGCGTGAAATATAGAGGCAGCACTACTGCCGAAGTTAGCCCTCTCTAGTGTTTAATTTTAGAATTAAATGGGGTAAACATTGCAAGTAAATAATAAAGGATATTTTTTAAAATATTAAATATAGTTAAATATAGATACCGGTCCGTACCAAACAATCGAGTACATGGTCAAAATGATATAAAATGTAAAACATTATTAAAATCTGGACATGTATATACATTTTAAGCAAAAACATTTAAATGACAAAGTGACAATAAATTGTAAAGTTGTACCTCAAACAAGTGTATCCAATGTCAAAATATCGGTATTTAATAACACTGAATTTAAAAGTATTACAATAACATTTAAAAAATGTAAATTAATAAAAAAGATTGATAATAATAATAATAATTCTTTTTAGCTTCATGTTAGACGAAATGTCATTCATCCACTGACGTCTATGAGACGCCCAATGATATACATATTATAGATTGCTCACCCATCTATAAAAAATTACGAAAAGTGGGTTGCAATATGCCTTTCCTAGTGCTTACTAAAAAGAGCCGTTCTAGCCCAAATGTGTTTTAATATAAAATTTCCGCATTTTAATCTTTAGAAAAAGAAAATAATTAAAGTTTTACGTCAAGACACGTTATTATGTATTTGGAAAGTTGAGTTTCCATGTAGTTAAATAATATTAAGAGATCTAAACAATTTTTAAAACAGATGGATATAAATAACTTTAGATTACTCTCATTTCAGAAATAACACTACATAAAATACATAATTGCAATATGTAATACAATTTTGAAAAGGAATATGTAAACAACTTTGGCCAGAGTTGTAATTGGGAACATCTATTATTCTGAATAATTTTTAATGGTAATGTCACTTAAAAATATTTCAAAACTCACTGAATTTTTAATATTTTAAAGTTTGTTGCAATCTCTTCTGACAGCAGTTGCAATGTATTATTTATGATTTGTTTATTTTAGTAATAAATGAGAAATAGTTAATAAATTGTAAAGAAGGCTATAATATTTTTGTCAAATTGGACATACTTATTTCATAGTAACATTCTACATTAGTTTTAATCAACAGAATAAACCATTAATTATCTGTAAAATTATATTTATATAAAATGTTCATTTAAATATGTAAAAATCTGAATGACAAGAAAACACTAAAGATTCTAATTTCTAAACCGGTTCTGTAAATGATTTCTTTACAACTAAGTGCTCAAAATTGATACAATCTAGATAAAAAAAAACTTTGCCCAGTGAAATACGTTTTTCGTCGTCTGATTTACATATGGATAAGCAATCTATATAAGTATGTATATCATTGGGTGTGAGACACTAATTCTGCTCTGTGGAAATTTATAAAATTTCTTTACTATCGAATTAAATCCAGGTTTCCAAAGTAATGTGTTCGTACATCCACGGATGCAACAAGTTTTTTCGATAATGATATTACGAAAATAATTCGACTTTATTTAATTAATAAATATTAAACAATAAATGCCGTATAAAATATTAATAAATATCCCCCATAAAGTTCAAATTTTTGTCACCAGTTAGCATTAAAGTCATGAAGCACGGTCCCTATAACTAATAATGTTTATAGATGGTTTTTAACGTATTAAAAACAAAACAAATATTACAATAACTAAAATATTCATTCATTCATTCATTCATTCATTCATTTATTAATAGTTGTAGTGCTTGAAACCACTATGATATTGATAATAATAACTACACTTATTGCAAACCTAAATAAAATAACAGCGATATAACAAATGATAAAATTATTGGAAAAAATTGAACAACCATTTTAAATTACCACGCTCCACCACTGATTGCAAATAATATTTATAATATTTTCTGTAAGATCAGCCTTAAAATTTTGATTCTATTAAGATTGAATCATTTTATTAGAAAAAATCCTTATAAAAATAAAAATAAAAGTGCCAATATTTACTGTATAAAATTATTCAACTCAAAAAATTATAAAATATAAAATATACAAAAAAAACTGAATTTTTAAAATTTTCTGTAAGAAAGGCTTTAAAAAATTAAATAAGTTAAAATTAAGTATGTAGGTTAGTACACACTGGGAGAAAAATACACAAATAACTTTAATTAATCTGAAAAAATAAGAAAAAAATTGATTTGAAAATTAAAAAATATATATCAAAATAATAAAAGTAAATAAGTAAAGGAGATTTTCTGTAAAACAAAATAAATAATTTTTTGAAAGCGTTAAACTCACAAAGAAAACTGATGCCGCTCTCATCATCTCGAACATCCACTTTCATTCAAAAAAAAAACTTTACCGGTACTCTAACCAATCTGCGTGTAACAGAAACCACTACGAAATTATAGTAATCATTGCTCTTATATAGGCACACCCATTTCAATGTTGACCGGTATCGCAACAGCAAGAAAAACATTCCTGCATAGGTTTAAAACTGATAGATACCGCCAATATTTACGCAAACGATTTCTGTTTATTTTAATTGATACATTTATTATATTTATGGCTTTAACAGTAGTTAAGTGTTAATGGAATTCTAGGCAGTTTTTCTGGTACCGTTTTATTGTTTTTTTTTGCATTTTCCAGCCGACGATTAATGGCAAAAATTCATATATGTAATGTTCTAAGATAGATAGTCGGTTGGTTTTCTGTTAAACTGGCGCCAGATTATAAAAAAAAGACCGCTAAGAATCCTCAGGTGGTATACTTTTAATCAGTGATTATTTGTATATTGTCGCATTTAAATATTAGTATTAATAATATATCTATATTCATATTAATAAATTGTTATAATTTTTAAAATTAGTTGGAAAGGTGAATCAGAAAAGTATTTTCTACTTTTTCAGGAGAAGCATTGGAAGTTTTAGAGGCACCTTGTAAGTCTTTTAGCGTGACAAGTAGAGCAATTATTGAAATTCTTTCATTGTAGATGAATACTCTAGGATTAGTCAACGGACGTGAGCTAATGATTTTAAAGTTGCTAAGCTCAGATTTTGGAAAAAAATATTTTAACCCTTTATGTCCCAGATAATGATTTTTTTTAGAAATGTAAGAAATAAGTTTGATATATCAATTAGAGGCACCTATGTAGGTCAAATTAAATTTTTTCAAAATGTTTTTGCCTTCCAAAAAATTTGGGGCCGGGACTTTCAAGTCCCGTCAGGGTAAAAAAGGCATAATGTAAATTGTAAAAAAAATATCTATTGAACAATCTCATGATATATGTTAAAACAATTTTTTTTTCGTTAACGCACAAATATAGAGCATTCAATATAGAAACCGATGCACGTCGGAGATGACGTCAGTGACAATCATTGGTACCACACACACTAATAAAAATAATTAAATTTTATTTTGCAAATAAATGAATAAATTTAGACGCATGGAGTTCATTTTTATAAAATTGCATATTAAAAATGTATTTTTTATTATATCACAGTAGTAAATGTACTGTAGGCAGATTATTAACGGAATACTTTCTAGTGAATTTCATAATAAAAGTTGGCATCAAATGTGTCAGCTTTTAATTTTAATACATTGTTGTCAATTGAAAAATGCCAAAACAATTAAATAGTCGCTGCAAGGAATTAGTGGCTTCTCTAATAAATTATTTTGAGAAAGAACGTGAAAACGGTGGGCCTTTGTTACCTTTAACAGCTGTAAGAGAAGTGAGTTGATTAATAATGTATCACCGTCAAATTAATATAATTATTTTGTTTCAGCGTGTCGCAGAAGCACTTAATCTCAATGTTTCTACTGTTAGTTCTATTTCACAAGCTGTAAAGAACAGAGAAGTTCTAAAGTCACCACCAAAAAAGCGACCTAGGCAAAATAAAGTTACCAACACAAGAATTCTGAATACCAGTGCTATTCGAGATGTTATTTATAGCATGTACGAGTCTAGTAAGTGTATATGTATATAAATTATTAATAAACAATTACAAATTAATGTATGATTTCAGAGGAGCATGTAAGTTTAGATTCTTTGTTGGTGAAACTTAATGAGAAGGAGTTGTTCAATGGATGTCGCACATCATTTCATACCTTATTATTAGAAATGTAGCCGATATGCTGGCTGAACAGTATGGACATAAGGTGTTACGTCTTCCTCCTTACCATTGTATTTTTAATCCAATAGAACTGATTTGGGGTATTTCAAAACAATATTATAACAGGCACATTGGTCGGGATGGAAAGACACAAAGAGATTGTATAGACATGTGGTCTGAAGCACTCCGAACCATTACCCCACAAATGTGGGCAAACAGTGTAAGACACAGTGAAAAAGAAATTTTTAAATGGTGTAAAAGAGAGCATATCGTCGGCTGGACTGCAAAACCTCGTATCTGCGTTTCCAATAATTTTACAGGAGAGGGTAAAACCTGTCTGAAAGAATAAATTATCGATTTTAATGTTATACTTTTGTTTATTAAAACTCAAAATACATTCCCTTCTTGGATATTAACATTGAACATACAAAAATAAAAAACTTTCTAACATTTTTCACATACGAGCTATTGAACTACACAAATAAGTCAAAAATATCAAATACGAGGTTTTGCAGTCCAGCCGACGATATACTGGACCGATTGGAAATTGCTCCCATTATTATAAAACCAAATAGAGATGATTCTGATTTTAGTTCTGATTATTCTAACTGATTTTAGCTTAAATATTATTGTCATGTGTTGTTAATTTTATTACCTAACTATTGTTACTTTTATTACCTAACTATTGTTACCTCTTTTAAATATGGATGTTTACAAACTAACTGAACATAATTATTTTACCTTTACACTTATAATTATTTTTTATTGTAAATTAAATCAAGCCTAAATAAAATTTGTTTGTTTTTTCATCCTTAACCTAACGTTTTTTTGTCATTTTAAACCTGTTGTGCAAAATTTATTACTATTAAATTCAGTGTTTTTCTAAAACTTTAATTTAAACATTATCAATGACCTTGATTGGCTTTTATATAGAATTCATTATACATTTAAAATTAATTGTTCCTAATAACATAGCCAAAGAACATAACCTCATAGTTCTAAAAATTCCTACATTCTTAGACTATTTTGAAGATTGGGCAACACTGCAAGGCTATGACTTTACAACTGATTGATGACGTGTATCGGTTTTTATATTGAATGCAGTAATTTAAATACTGCGAATGTGGTCTGGATTCTACTGCAATTGACGAACATTGCTCGCATCGTCCTCTTTTGGAAGTGAAAACTGGCCAGTGGGCTCCTTGATTTCCCAATCTAACATCGTTTGACACGCTGTAGTTATATTTTCTACGTTTTGGTACAGTGATTGTTGAAGTTCCAGAAGGCGTATTTCGAGGGCTATTTCTAGGGCTATTGGTATTGCGGTTGCTTGAAGATTTATTTTGTATTGCATAGAAGTTGCTGTAGTTCATTAGCCCTTGAGCAACCTCTCTTCTAAATTCCAGCAGCTTGATTTTGTCCTCTGGGTGAACTTTTTTATAAAGCACATCTATTCACGAATACTATATCAAGTATTCCAAAAAATAACCGGTGCCACCATTTCTTTGAGCGTCTATCTATACAGTAAGCCTGTCGAAGTCGATCCGCGAGATCTACGCCCCCATATGGACATTATAATCATTGACTATCTGAGGACAATCTACATCTTTTGCGGTACCGTCTTTTTGAAGGCGTTTAACTTTACTCATTTCTGTACTATGGGAGTTAGAGAGAAAATGCACCATTCGATTGTCACACCACTTGAAAAATGACAAATCCATACTGGATACCCTATAGTCAACATCGCCCCGCTTTATACTTTTGTCTTCAGTCATGTTGGATAGTTGTTTTAATCTATCCCGTTAAACATGCCAGCGTTTTTTCCGTTTTCAGTTTTTCCAGATGTAAAGTAATTATCAAAGTATACAATTCTGTTCGTGTTCCAGTAATTCTCAGTCAAAATCAAAACCACCCTTTCTTCTAATCCCAATCCCTGAAACTTCTCTTCAGCCACCTCATTTTTACCCTGGTAAACTTCAAACTTCTTTATATATCCCTTTTTATCAGCTATACACTAAAGCTTGTATCCTTTCTTTATTGGCTTTTTCGGATTATACTGTTTCAAAGATGACCTTCCTTTGAAAATTATCATGCTTTCGTCAACTGAAAGTGCTCTGGTTCCATTATCCAATAAGTCGAATTGTTCATTCAGGGCTTTCACAAAAGGCCTTATTTTATAAATTTTGTCTTTATTATCAACAGGAATGAATGCATTGTAATTCACATGAAGATATTGTAAAAACTGCTCAAAATGGGTTCTCGGTATTGTTCGTTTTACAACTAAAAGTCCTAGATCTTCAGAACAGGACCAATAATTTGTAGCTTGGCAGCTTGTGGTATCCCATAACTGTGCGTGTAAACAACTTAGAAATCACCAGCCAGGAGAACCTAAAGTACCTAGGCATCCACTTAGGAACATGTACATGGGCCACCACATAAGAGACACTGCTAAAAAGGCTAACAAGGCAATCGCCAACCTCGCACGCATCATGCCAAATCTAGGGCTCCCCAAAGAAAGTACAAGACGTATGCTGTTGGCTGTTGTAAACTCAATAGTACTATACGGATCAGCAATATGGCAAAGAGCAATGAAAAAACAAATATACAGGAACATTCTAACTGGAGTACAGAGGAAAACTGCCATCAGGATAGCCAGCGCATACAGGACCTCATCGACAAAGGTACTGCTAGTCATAGCAAGAATCCTTCCAGTTGATCTGCTTGCCGAGAAAAAAGCTATGTTAGACCAAGGATACGACAATAAAGAAGCTAATCGCATAATACTGAATCAATGGCAGCAAAGATGGAAAGAGGATGCTGGAAAAGCAAACTGGACCAAGAGACTCGTACCTGACATTAGATCATGGGTAAACAGGAAACACGGACAGGTAAATTACTACCTTACACAACTTCTAACGGGACATGGATGCTTCAATCGGTTTAAAATAACAGAAGAAAACAAATGCATATATTGCGATATTCCGGACACAACCGAGCATACCTTCTTTGAATGCGTAAGATGGACTGAGAAGAGAACACAAGAGGAATTAAAAATAGGTCGAATTACTCCCGAAAATGTAGTGTTCAAAATGCTAGAGAGCGAACTTACCTGGGGAACAGTGGATAAAATGGTCACAAGAGTGTTGAACTTAAAACGCCGAGAAATGGAAGCTCAAAGATAAAAAAAGGAAAGAAACCGTAACATCAATTGAAACCACCGACCTATTCGAAGTAATGCCCGACGGCAGTTCCAAATAGGTCCAACCAAGGCGATGGGTGGTTTTAGTGGGTATACCGGCCTTGCACCCTTCAGCCGGGAGTCCCACACTACCAGGTATGGGCAGAACCATATGCCTGGTGTCCGTAATGG